AACTTAAAATAAGAAGATAAGTAATCAAATATAATTTATTCAAGTGCACCAATGACTTATGGCAACACTATTTTAATTTTATTTAAATAAAAAAAAAAAAAAAGTAAATGAAAAAAAAAGTCAAAATAACAAAATCAAGGTAAATGAAAAAAACATGATTGCTACGATATGAAGCACCAGGGATTCAGGATACCGATACTACATAATGATTACATCAGAATATGACAAATTCTCCAAATACAGCAAGCACACAGCAATATGTATATGTATGTTCACGTAAAATGCATTTTTATGTAGACATATATTATAGGAAAAGACCTAACCTTCCAACTTGATGGGGAGGATAAAGATGTTACCACATTTCTTGTATAAGAAAACCTATTATTTAAATTTCAACAAAAACTAATAAAAAAGATGTCAATGCAATTTGATATAAGTGGAATTAGTAACAGTTAATCCAACAACTATTTTCACTGGAGATACCATTCTTTTGCACAAGCACCACTACTGGTTCTCTCCAAAGACACTGCCAAACATCCCACACTAGCCAGTTTTTAGAACAAAGATATTCAAAATGATGGATACAAGAACATCAAGGAAACATGTTATCATACTCTTCAATCTTCGCTCTTTTTTCTAATTTCACGAATCACAACTATTGTTACAAAAATGGAAGAAAACTCAGAATATAAGAGATATGTGCTGCTGGTGATGGTTGTGATTGACAAAGATGTAAGGAAAATGAAACAAAGTAAAACCAATACAACCAGAGATAGGTGCTGATTGTGATCGTGGTTACGATGGTCAAGTACATAGGGATGGATATTGATGTAGGTAGCGAATCGGTGAGATCGTGGTGGTTAAGTCTTAGGGTCGTTTGGTTAGCGTCAACTAGCAAGAAAAGAAAAGAAAAGAAACGGAAAATTTTAAAAAAAATTAGGTGTTTTCTTTTTCTTTTTTTTTTGAACAAAAATTAGGTGTTTGGTTAGAATCAAAAGGAATATTTTTTAGGAAAGTAGAATTCTCGTAACAGTTGATTTTTCTTAAAAAGTTTCCTCCATAAAACAAACAAAAATTTTAGTTTCCCCATAAAGTTGTACCTTTATATTTTAGTTTCTTCATCATAAATTTACAATTTTCTAGCTCTTTAAAATAGGACTCTTCTCCAAATCACAAAAGAAGTGAGCCAGTTTAAAAGTAGAGTCCTAATATATAATGCAAACTGCAAAAAAAAAATAAAAATTAAAGAGCCAATTAGCAAATATATAACATACATGTAATTGGACACATATACATACATGCACACACGTAGATATTCATTCATACACCAATTTGGACATATATATTCATTCATAAACCCAATTGTGTATATATATATATATATTTCTTTTTGTGCCTTTTTTTTTTTTTTTTTTTCTAAATTATTCCTATTGCATGATGATGTAGGTTAGAAAAAAATATATGTGTATTACTTAGTATTAAACTCATGGGGGTAGTTTTGGTATGTGAAATTATTTTATTTTCACTCTCGTGCTAACCAAACTAATAAAACAATATTTTCTAATAAATTTCTTATAAAATATTTCATACTAACCAAATGCATAAAAGAAACTTCACTTTCTTTTCTTTTCACTTTCCAACATCAATTCCTGCTAACCAAACAGACCCTTGGAGAAATAGAAAGAGAGTAGGGGTATGTTGTGTTCATTTTATATGCACATACTGAAAAAGGGTCCTAGGTTACTACAATCTGTTAGAAGAGTAGATAGTTTAACAATACCCTAACTATCAAACATTAGGCTATTTTTGTCCCATAAATGTTGAGGGACATCTTTAACATCGCAATGAAGGAGAAGTTGGCTCTCTAGCTCTCCCTATATAAAATAATTATATAGTCTCACGACTACGGACTCTGGTTCATGAATACCATTTGTAACAGGCCTCACCCTACCTAACACAATATTATCTGCTTTTGGCTCCCCTAGACCAGAGACTTCCAAGGAGGTTACCCATCTTGGTACTACTCCAGCATAAGCACGCTTAACTGCGGAGTTCTGATGGGTTCGCGGCTATCATGTCTTTGAAACGCGTTGAGCCTACATATAACACTTCCCCTTTCCACACCCTGACGATATGGGATTGTGCACATGTAGCTCGTCCAGTGTGGTAGCTCGCTAGTGCCTTGCACCCGCCCACGTAGGTCACCACAATCACCCCACTTTTGGGGCCCAACGTCCTCGTTGGCCACACTTCCAGTTGGGCCTGGCTATGATATATAGAGACATCTACATATAAATTCAAGTTAATAATTTATATATATATATCAGGAAAAAATACAACACAAACTCTGAACTATCAATACAAAATTACCCCCAAACCTAACAAATTCCCCCTCCCCAGAGTTATCAAAAAATTTCAAATAATGTAAGAGTTAAATTCCAGTTAGTAGCAATCTGAAATATTGATATATCTACGACAAACAACGTCATTTTGTTAAGTTCTTAATAATTTATACGATTTACCTAATAAAATTGTGCCACGGCTACTTTAAAATTGGGGGAGGATGAAATAGGAAATCCAACCATTCTACCCAAAATACCCATTTTTCATCTGTTTTTTTATCTTTGTTCACTACTTCATTTAAACATTGTATCGAAAAGTATATATACATCCATCTCCAAATAAAATTTGCTACAGAGAAGAAAGAAACCAAAGAGATGATGCGCCCCAATCACGCCAACTAGCTACCGGAAAAAAAGTAGACGGCCAATGAAGTAACTGCTTATGGATAGTGGCTGGCAAATCACAGTACGCAGGAATTATAGGCGCAGATTTTTCCAGCCATACAATACTTCGTTCCTTTCTCCTCGTGCCACTAGATTCATTAAATACGAGGGACAGCACTCGTAAAACAAACTCCTCTCCAACAGAGAACAACGCTATCACCAACTAGGTTGGTTGAGCTCTTAGAAAGAGCACAACAAAGCACAGTATTATGCATGCTCAAAACTAGCCAACTAGGAATCTAGAGATTCAGAAATACTTTTTTTTTTTGGGTAAGTTAGAAATTTAGAAATACATCATAGAGCCATAGAGATGATAGTCACAATAAAGTAATACATGAAAACAAAAGCTCCAATCCAAAAACAAAATCACGTTAGATAGGACATGCCACCTTAGAAATACTTTGGTACGTGCTCCAATGCATCCAAAACATCGTTAGTCCATCCAAGCCACCTAAGGTAACTCCTAACCCACAGTCACTCAAAAAAACAAAATATTACTTCATAAGTTCTTCTATAGTTGCTGGGATGTTGGATTCGGCCTTCAAATACAATCACACTAAGACTGCTGACTTTTTCCAACCTTTTTTTTTGCAAGTACAATTTTGTCTCATCTTCTTACATGACATTGTCGGAACACTTCTCAACCAATACAAACATTAATAATCAATCAAAACACGAATTTTTTCTTTAACTTCACAATAAATAAGTATAAACATAAATTTCAATGGTAGTAGAAAGCATAAGGATTGGGATTGTGTTTCAATCCAAAAATCCCTGTAAACGAGGGCTTCTTAAGTTTAATTTAACTTCTATATCACAGCAACTGCTTTATAGTAATAAATCATAAAAAATGAACAAATCTCACACAGTTACCAATCCGGCCTTAGGTAGGCAATGAAGTATAGGAAGGAAAAAAATAAAATAAAATAAAAACTAGAACCTAGTTTAGGGAGGGACAGGGCCCTTTCATTTTACCAAGCACGCTTGTTTAGGGAGGGAAAGGCCCCTTTCATATACTTTGCATGCATGTTCCAAAGCAACTGAAGTATCATAGATATGTCAAGATGACCAAGAATGACTATTTATTTATTTATTTATTTTTTATTTTTTTTGATAAGTAAGAATGACTATTTATTTTAACTCATAAAACATTTACCAACAGAATAAATATATCTTTAATCATTGACACCTTCCCCATCCACCCAGTCCCCATTATCCTCATCCAAAACTTCTCCATTCCCCTCATTCTCTTCTCGAATACCATTCATCTCATGTTCTCTCCATCCTCCCCTATTCTGACTCCTTTTTTTTCGTGTTTGGCAAAGAAGCTACAAATTTTGTACATCTACGACCAGAATTTCAAAATTTCAGCAAGAAAATTTTTATCATCTTCTCATATCCCAGTTTTCTCCCAACTTAAATCTGCACTTCTAAAGATTCTTGAACTCACGAATGGAATACAATTCTTATCAAACCATACCTTTCTATTATAACCATCACCAATCAACAAATAAAAAATCGTTGCTGACCCCAAACTTCTCATAGCCATCTTCCCCAATTGTCTCAATTCCAAAAACTGAGTCCAAACATTTTACCATATTACAACCATGTTTCCACTCAACCTTCAGCACTTGAAAGACATCTATAGAATCTACACACTCTGTCTCAACTAAAAATAAATAAAAATTCCCAAAGTGTCTCAACCAATTTTATTGCCAACAACCCTAGTTGTAACCACAAGATGACCACCGCTACCACCACCAATGCCGCCTTCTCAAACCCAAGTTGCAAGTAGAAATCCTAACCACATTTTGTTAAAATCGGACATGGATTGGTGTTTATAAAGGAGTTGATGGAGTAATCCAAGAATCACGGTGTTCTTAAAGCTCTAGGGTTGCTCGGAAGTCATAACATGGTTGCAATGGGTTTTTTCTCCTTGACCCTACTTAGTCACTCCTTTCATATACTGATTGGCTCTCAAGTGCTCATTAGCTAAAAGACACATTTTTGCTGCAGAAAAGGTGTGACATGTGCCTCTTTAGTATCAACAAAGCATCAGATCAGTTTTCAAACAGAGAAATTATTTTCAATTCAAATACATTTTAGGTGCATCTGCAAGTATTTAAAGAATATGACTTTGTTCTCCATAGTTGATAGAGGCACAATTGTCCATAAGAACACCTATATTACTCAGAAACCAGGTAGGAGCAGAAACAATGCAAACAAATATACAAACTAGTCTACTAGACACAAATATCTTCATTATTTTCTCTACACAGACTACTATTAACTAAATCTTATGTATGGGTTCTAATGACTAAATCTTATGTACAGCCAATTTTATGTACCAGCCGATTCATTGCTGAATAGTGTGTTACCAAAACATTAACATTGAGTCTCAAAATTTAGTAAATCAAAGTCAAATAATATCAATATTGCAATCTAATTAATGAATAAATTTTACCTTGATGAATTATGTAGGAGGTTTAGGCCTACAGGACACAACCTCAGTCTTCTCAATTCCATCGAACACCTCAGCTTGAAAGATTTTAGACCCACCATCATTAGCATCCTTGGCCTCAAAAGTAATATAATAGATAAAACCAGCAACAAGCGACTGATTTGCCTTCTGAACCTTCACAAAGTCATAATTTACCTTCTACAAGAGATTTTACAATGGAAAATAAGGGTCAGGAAAAGAAAATATGCATATAATATATTCACCTTAAAGATGAAATGAAAATGAAAAATAATTTTTTAAAAAAATTACACGTACATAATCTCTATCGTACTGCCGAATTGCTTTTTTTGAGAGCTTTTCGATACGCTTTGGTAGGCCTTCGCTCTCGTTGACCCAGGAAATTGGGCTAATTAAACCCAAATAAGAAGATAAAAGCGGATATTTGTCCACCTCAAAGCCCTATAATAATGCTCACAGATTATTAGTCAAATAATATATATATATATAAATTTCTACATAATATGTAAATATATTGAGAGAAGCCATTGTAGAAGGATATGTACATTGCTATCCGCAACTTGTTTTCGGTATTGCCAAAACAATTCATTCGTCTTCTCTTCATCGTCTGAATCAGTCTCTTGAACGGTCTCTCTGTGTGCAGGGACTTCTGGCATCTTTATAGTAATGTTAGCATTAGAAAGCATGAGTGCGAACTCCCGCTCATCATCAGAGTCAAAGTCCTCCGACATCATTTTTTGCATAAGAGGATCCTCTGGATTGCAATAGCATTCCCCCCCGCAATAGCAATTCCCCCGATATCGTCATCGGAATCATCATTAGATTCATCATCGGATTCATCACCAAGTTCAGGATCATACCCTTTTTTCTCACCATCAACAGCCTTATCGGTTTTTTCTGGTGGTGGTTTAGAACAGATTTCTGGGATTTCTCGTGGTTTAAAAGGGATTTCTTGGTGCAGTATGTATTAATTATATATTAAAACACAGCTGCTTTGTTTGGAAAGAAAGATGGAAAGGAAGAGATTTCGAGTTTCGAACAGCTTTCTTTGTAAATAATTTTATGAAGAAAAAAAAAAACATCTTATATAATATACTATATAGATACTATCTATTCTATTATCCAAGTGGTGTGTTTTCCATTAAAGAAATTAATAAAATATATTATTTTCATAGGTTTTGTCATGAGTATATAATTAAAAAATATATAGTTTTTTTTTTTTTTTTTTTTTTTTTAACAACCTATTTTCTTTCCTTTATTGAATTTTCCCACTTCATTATTTTTCCGTTTAAGGATTAAAATTTTGAACTTTGTTCTCTTTATCTTTTTTATGTTTTTGATCTTCTCTCTCTTTCTCACTTTATCTAATTTATATTTTGAAATTTTAGAAAAAATAGAAATCATAACAAATCGGGTTAATGCCAAATAAGCGTGTACCAATTTTGTCCTTGTGGGAGATTAGGCTCTCAATTAGGAGTGCAATTAGGAGAGCAATGGGTAAGTTAGCCAAAATTATAGAAGTCACAACCTAAACCCGACCCAGCCCATGTTTTTCAACCGAGATCAACTCATACTCAAATTTTGAACTGAAAAATCGAGTTAATTTTGTATTAGTTTACGGTTAAATAACTCCCTCGCATTAAACCAAGAAAAAAACTAAAAATAAATTTGAATTTTTTAAATATATATATATGATATAATTTATTTTAGAATTTAAGTTCAATTTGAGCCCCATGAAAAAATTGAGATGGACTCAACTTGAGTTCTGCTATGCCACCCTTGTACTCGCACACTCCCTCAATTTTAATTAAGAAGATGCTACTGAATTACAAATTTAAGCAAACTAATTCAAATAATTGAAACCGAGATTCACGTGTGTGAAACAAATATAGTCCGATATAAACCACCTTATCCCAATTACACAATTGGAGCTGAACAAAACTAGATTTCGAAATACAATTTGCTGGCCATGAATTATAAAATTATTGTGCTATTTCACGAACATTGGTATGCAAATTGATGTTTGCTTGTACGCTGTCGTTTGTACCCAAATAGGAGTGTGAGAGCATTCATTTAGACGAGGCACCGAACTTTGTTAATTGCATTCAAATTTACCACTGTCATTGCCAATGTCACACACTACACTGGAGAGATTTTGTTCCTCACAAAAAAGCTGCACGGGCGAAGAAGAATAAGGAACCACGTGACATGGTTTGTGCTAAAAAAAATAAATTTCTATTAGCTAGGCTAGGTCGTCTCTCCAAAGCCTCAAGCGTGAGGTGCGTTGGAGCAGTGGCCATTGAAGGACACTGGCTACACATATTCATTTTCCTCGTTAAGCCTGCATCAATGGAGGAAGATATAGCAAGCAGCGTTGGAGAAGTCGCCATTGTAGGACACTGGCTACACAGATTTATTTTCCTCACCCAGCCAGCTTCAATGGAGGAAGAACTAAACTACACTCGTTCAAATTATCAAATAAAAAAATACACGAGTAGAAATCGAGGAAATCAAAGCAAGTGCAGGAACAAAACTATGTGACTTTAGCTTGGTGGGCAAGTTATTCATTGAAAACCCCCTGAAAGATCTCACCGAAGTTTTGGATTGTGAATCCTTGCAACTATATAAACTAAAAACAATCTATATTGGCATGTCTATCCATATACACGTTTGATGTTGGATTAAGTAACTTGATAAAATGTTCTCTCCAAATCAATGTATCCCTAGCGAAGAGGATAGATTAAAGAACAGCCCATGTAGTTTCGATGGTAAGCTGCGAGCTGTCTAGAAATGGCATACAGGTCTTACTAGTGATGACATTTTGGGTGAGTTTAAAACATTCCTCTTGATGGACACTGATTATTGGTGGTGCTTTAAAGAGGGTGAAATTACATATGTAACGCAAGACAATCCGACCAACCCATCACATCAAATGCAAGGCCCAACAAAGATCAAGCAAACGAAAGGGAGAAGCACTGAGCAATAGACCGATTACAGAGGTTTTAACCAACTGAACTATTAACCTCGATCAACAATCAACTATTAGTAGCAAACTGCAATTGATATATATAATCTCACAAGAAAGACAGCCCTACTACCATCTTTTGTTGTCAATACACATGGTATTAGGGACTTTCACAAAACAACCCGGTGCACGGGCGACAACAATCCGAAATTCTCACACATGCTAAATTCGAAATAAAATAGTTTACCATCCCTTTCATCCAAATGGAAATAAGCTCAACATGGCATATCTCTTTCATTATATCTCAGATCACCTGAAAAAACACCAAAATATATATATATATATATATATGTGTGTGTGTGTATATATATATTTGTGTCATGCATGTAGAATGAAATTAGTCACAATCAAACCATTCATGACAATCAATGCAGGCTATAGTTCCTAGTTTATAAATTAGTTGAAGAATTTTCTAGAAATCATACTGATGATTTGTGTTCACTGGCCAACAGACATTCGTGTATGCCATCCTCACTTCTCCTTGTCCTTCAGCTCCCTAAAATAAAAACTATTTCCTAACTAGATGCAATCATTGGTTTACATATTATACTGCACTAACATCAAGCTGCTACTTCCTAAATTAGCAACTGATCTATTATATTCTTTAGTAAGCAAATATCAAAATTATACAATTCAGGTAGCAGAAATTTAGATATTTTATCAGTAATTTCATTATCAACCTACCTCCTCCTAAATTAGCAACATATCTATTATATTAAAAAGTTTATTTTTCTAACATTTTTTTTTTTCTTTTCATTTCTAGATATCAAATAGTTGTTCTTAATGATATATATGAAGCAATTATTCGGCTTCTTATTTTAATACAAAATGCATACCTTCAAACCTATATATTTTAGTTTGTTACCAAACCATATATACAACATATGACATTCAGTTTGCTGGACTGATTGTGCAAAGGCTGAATGAGAGAATCATAGAAACACAATATTTTGCCTTTATTCTACTAAATAAAATCAAAGAAATAACTTATTTTCTTATTCTGTATAAATAAAAAGAATTTCACTCGATGAAAACTATAAGAAAGCACAAGCCAATATAACTAAGCAACTTTATATTGTTATAACATGCAAATCACAATGCATGCATAACGAATATTTTATATGTAGGAAGACATTATTTAAACAATGCAAAAGGGCTGTTAAACAATTAACTAAAAACAACATATAAAAAATATTATGCTACATACTATATCACCCATCAACTAAAAACACCACCAAAAAATATTATGCTATGTACAAAAACACGCATCAATATCTTATTTAGAAAATAATAATAAAATGAAGATCAATTACTCACAATATTCAACATTTCTTGAGATAAAAAGTAGACCAATGAAAATTTGACACTAAATCAAGATCTAGATGGATCGCTATCTTTTACCTCTATCCACGGGGATACCATTCTATATGGAGAGAGATATCCATGAATTGTGGTAGACTACCGCATCTTTACGTGTGGCAGTTTGAAGTTGGAGACTGTTGATCATTGCTGGCAGGGGAAGGACGGCGTGATTGATTCACTTGTAGAGTGATAGGAAGTACACAAAGACAAAAGCCAAATTCCTTTAGAATAGCAGCCACTAGCCAAAACAACCCAAATCCAAAACCCCATCACCATAGCTACCCGAACCTATGATAGAAAAGAATTAAAAAAAAAAAATGCAAGTTCTGTGAAAATCAAATAAATACAAAGTCACGCAATCCTTCTTATTTGTTGTACTCGTTGATGCAAGAAACAGTCACACAATCCTTCTTATTTGTTGATAGGTAACCCATGTAATGCTAATTATAAAAAGGGTATCATTTGATATGATTGAGACCATTGCAATAAAATGGCGCACATTGTTTTATGATTATAAAATTGATGTAATGATTAAAAACTGGAGAAAATACATGCATACATACATATAAAAATATATTGAGAATGTAGTTGGGTTTTCTAATCTACACGCAATCACTATTCTAGGCATCCAGCGTGTAAAGCGATATAAGAAAGTGAATAAGAGAGAGGAATCGAACATCTGTTCTAGGGCTTTTTTCTCTTTCAATGTTTTGAACTTGTAATGTGTATCCTCATAAGATTAAGCATGTTCAGATTATAGCAATGGCTATTTACATTTTTCTTCATATACTAATTACCTAATTAATTTCTGTTTGAGACATGATTACGTGTGTATTACCAACAAAAAATAGTAATAATTATGAACAAGATTCAAGTACAGTACTATGCATTTTATTCATACATCAACTGTGAAGTAATTTACCAAGGATAATGGCAAATCAATGTATCGTCCGCAAACAGTAAATGGAAAACATCCATCTACTGAGCCGTATCTGGACCCACCCTCAATCCCCTGATAAAGTCCAAATCCACTGCACTCCTCACCAACCTGCTAAAGGCCTCCATAACAGTAATGAACAGAAAAAGGGAAAGGGGATCCCCTTGTCTCAAACCTCGAGAACTTCCAAAGAAGCTAGAGGGAGCCCCATTCACCAACACAGAGAATCTAACGGAAGAAATACAAGCCTTGATCCATTTCCTCCACTTCTCCCCAAATCCCATCCTCCCCTTCTCCCCAAATCCCATCCTCCCCAACAGATACAAGAGAAAATTCCAGTTAACATGATCATAATCTTTCTCAATGTCACAAGACTCCAGGAACCCCACTACGAAGCCTAAAGTCCACACATTCACTGCAATAAGAGAGGAATCCAGAATCTGCCTACCCCCAATAAACAAATTTTGAGACTCTGAGATATATATACATCCATCCCCAAATAAAATTTGCTATAGAGAAGAAAGAAACCAAAGAGATGATGAGCCCCAATCACGTCAACTAGTTACCAGAAAAAACTAGATGGCCAATGAAGTAGCTGCTGATGGATAGTGGCTGGCTAATCACAGTACGCAGGAATTATAGGCGCAGATTTTTCCAGCCATACAATACTTCGTTACCTTCTCCTCCTGCCACTAGATTCATTAAAAACGAGGAAAAGCACTCGTAAAACAAACTCCTCTCCGACAGAGAACAACGGTATCACCAACTAGGTTGATTATGCTCTTAGAAAGAGCAAAACAAAGCACAGTTTTATGCATGCCAACTAGGTATCTAGAGATTCAGAAATACTTTTTTTTTGGTAAGTTAGAATTTTAGAAATACATCATAGAGCCGTAGAGGTGATATTGATAATCACAATAAAGTAATACATGAAAACAAAAGCTCCAATCCAAAAACAAAATCACGTTAGATAGGACATGCCACCTTAGAAATACTTTGATACGTGCTCCAATGCATCCGAAGGATCACTAGTCTATCCAAGCCACCTAAGGTAACTCCACCCACACAGTCATTCAAAAAAACAAAATATGACTTCCTAAGTTCTTCTATAGTTGCTGGGATGTTGGATTCGGCCTCCGAATACAGTCAAACTAAGACAAATGACTTTTTCCTACCTTTCGTGTTTTTTTTTTTTTTTTTTGTAAGTAAAATTTTGACTTATCTTCTTACATGACATTGTCGGAACACTTCTCAACCAATACAAACATTAATAATCAATCAAAACACAAGTTCGATAATTTTTTTCTCTAACTTCACAATCAATAAGTATTAAAAAAAATTTCGAAGGTAGTAGAAAGCATAAGAATTGGGACTGTGTTTCAATCCAAAAATCCATTTAAACAAGGGTTTCTTAAGTTTAATTTAACTTGTATATCACAGCAACTGCTTTATAGTAATAAATCATCAAAAATGAACAAAACTCACTCAAAAAAGTCCTGAATAGTTTCCAATCCGGCCTTAGGTAGGCAATGAAGTATAGGAAGGAAAAAAATAAAATAAAATAAAATCTAGAACCTAGTTGATTCTGTTTTGATGGACGTACCAAGTACGCTTGTTTAGGGAGGGAATGGCCCCTTTCATATACTTTGCATGCATGTTCCAAAGCCACCGAAGTATCATAGATATGTCAAGATGACCAAGAATGACTATTTATTTTAACTCATAAAACATTTACCAACGGAATAAATATATCTTTAATCATTGACGCCTTCCCCATCCACCCAGTCCCCATTATCCTCATCCACAACTTCTCCATTCCCCTCATTCTCTTCTCGAATACCATTCATCTCATGTTCTCTCCTTTCCTCCCCTATTCTGACTCCATTTTTTTTCGTGTTTGGCAAATAAGCTACAAATTTTGTCTATCTACGACCAGTATTTCAAAATTTCAGCAAGAGAATTTTTATCATCTTCTCATATATCCCAGTTTTCTTCCGACTTAAATCTGCACTTCTAAAGATTCTTGAACTCGCAAATGAAATACAATTCTTTTCAAACCATACCTTTCTACTATATCCATCACCAATCAACAAATAAAAAATCGTTGCTGGCCCCAAACTTCTCATAGCCATCTTCCCCAATTGTCTTAATTCCAAAAACTTTGTCCAAACATTTTACCATAACTCAACCTTCAGCACTTGAAAGACATCTATAGAATCTATACACAGTCTCAACTATAAATAAATAAAAATTCCATAAGTGTCTCAACCAATTCTATTGTCAACAACCCTAGTTGTAACCACAAGATGACCACCACTACCACCACCAATGCCGCCTTCTCAAACCCAAGTTGCAAGTAGAAATCCTAACCACATTTTATTAAAATTGGGCATGGATTGGTGTTTATAAAGGAGTTGATGGAGCAACCCAAGAATCGCGGTGTTCTTAAAGCTTTAGGGTTGCTCGGAAGTCATAACATGGTTGCAATGGGTTTTTTCTCCTGGACCTTACTTAGTCACTCCTTTCATGTACTGATTGGCTCTCATGTGCTCACTAGCTAAAAGGCACATATTTGCTGCAGAAAAGGTGTGACATGTGCCTCTTTAGTATCTACAAAGCATCAGATAAGTTTTCGAACAGAGAGATTATTTTCAATTCAAATACATTTTAGGTGTATCTGCAAGTATTTAAAGAAAATGACTTTGTTCTCCATAGTTGATAGAGGCACAATTGTCCATAAGAACACCTATTACTCAGAAACCAGGAGGGAGCAGAAACAATGCAAACAAATATACAAACTAGTCTACTAGACACAAATATCGTCATTATTTTCTCTACACGGACTACTATTAACTAAATCTTATGTATGGGTACTAGTGACTAAATCTTTATGTACATCCAATTTTATGTACAGCTGATTCATTGCTGAATAGTGTGTTACCAAAACATTAACATCGACTCTCAAAATTTAGTAAATCAAAGTCAAATAATATCAATATTGCAATCTAATTAATGAATAAATTTTACCTTGATGAATTATGTAGGAGGTTTAGGCCTACAGGATACAACCTCAGTCTTCTTAATTCCATCGAACACCTCAGCTTGAAAGATTTTAGACCCACCATCATTAGCATCCTTGGCCTCAAAAGTAATATAATAGATAAAACCAGTAGCAACCTAATGATTTGCCTTCTGAACCTTCACAAAGTCATAATTTACCTTCTACAGAGATTTTACAATGGAAAATAAGGGTTAGGAAAAGAAAATATGTATATAATATATTCGCCTTAAAGATGAAATGGAAATGAAAAATAAATTTTTTTTAAAAAAATAACACGTACATAATCTCTATTGTACTGCCGAATTGCCTTTTTTGAGAGCTTTTTGACAAGCTTTGGTAGGCCTTCGCTCTCGTTGGGCCAGGAAATTGGGCTAATTAAACCCAAATAAGAATGTAAAAGCGGATAGTTATCCACATCAAAGCCCTAAAATAATGCTCACAGATTATTAGCCAAATAATATATATATATATATACAAATTTTTCTACATAATATGGAAGTATATTGAGAGAATGCATTGTAGAAGGATATGTACATTGCTGTCCTCAGCTTGTTTTCGGTATTGCCAAAACAATTCATCCATCTTCTCTTGATCGTCTGAATCAGTCTCTTGAACGGTCTCTCTCTGTGCAGGGACTTCTGGTATCTTTATAGTAATGTTAGCAAAATCTCCCGCTCATCATCAGACTTCTGGTATCTTTATAGTAGTGTTTCTTTACGAACTCCCGCTCATCATCAGAGTCCATGTCCCCGGACATCATTTTTTGCATAAGAGGATCATCTGGATTGCAATAGCATTCCCCTCCGCAATAGCAATTCCCGCCGCTATCGTCATCGGAATCATCATTAGATTCATGCATCATCGGATTCATCACCAAGTTCAGGATCATATCCTTTTTTCTCACCATCAACAGGCTTATCGGTTTTCTGTTTCTTTTCTGGTGGTGGTTTAGAACAGATTTCTAGAATTTCTGGTGGTTTAAAAGAGATTTCTGGTGGTTGAGAAGAAACATGAGCGGAAACCATGTTCGGAGGTTAAACTGGAAGACGGAAAACAAAACCCTAAACACCAATAGACTATTAGGTCGCGACCGGGTCAAAATAACAAAATTAAATTGCTTAGTAGTAAGATACGTTAAATATTACTCTTCGTTATATATTAAATGTCCCCCACAGCTTTGTCTGGAAGAAAGGAAAGGAAGAGATTTGGAGCAGCTTTATTTGGAAGGAAGGAAGGAAGGAAATTCTTCCTCTCGTTAGAGAAGAGAAAAGGAGTGAAAAAATAATAAAAGAGACATCATCCAAATACAAATACAAGTACAAGGGAAAACAAATTTGTCTATTATAATTATACAACTTCTAAACTATAATATTATGTTGGAGAGAAAATTTTATATTAGAGACATCGTCCAAATATAAGGGAAAACAAATTTGTCTATTATATAAGTTTTACATTACAATAGTATTATAAATTATACAAATTTTAAATTATAATATTATGTTTTATAAATTATAATATTATAGCTATGGACAAGTATAGTAAAAAATAATTTTAAAATATATATTTTTTTCTTTTCTAATAAACATGATAAATTGTGAACTTATTTATTTTTATATTTCATTCAATAAGCAAAATAGTCACCACATAAGTCAGAAAAAAGATGTTGGCCGAGTGTGGCGTGCCAAACCCACCATGCATTCATAATTCCAATGTTCCAATTCTACACCCTAAAAAAAAAAAAAATGAAGAAAAAAAAAATTCGTTCTATTAACAAAGTTCTTGTGGACAAATTTTCACTTTATTTTGTTCACCCAATTAATCGATTAATATGTTTGGGGGGGGGGGGGGGGTTGTTTGTGCACCTGTTTATTATTGTGTGTGAAAACTATTTTTTTGCTAAAGGTCATTCAGGGTTGGCCTTAAGATTCCAAATATTTTGAGAGGCACTAAGTGAACTTTTAAACGTGAGACCCTTAAGTTTCACACAAGCGAAAAAAAAATTATAAGAGTGCGAAATTTTAACACGTTGTTTTCAAATTCTATAGCTAATATAATTATGCGTCTGCGCATTGTGCATAAGACAACTAACTAATAACTATAAATTTATCACTACCAACAAATAATTGTGTGCCTATACAGTGTGCATAAGACAACTAACTAAAAAGTATAAATCTATCACCACCAATAATTAATTGTGCGTCTGTGCAGTGTGCTTAAGATAACTAATTAATAATTATAAATTTTTATCACCACCAATAAATAATTATGTGCTAGTGCAGTTTGCATAAGACAACTAACTAATAACTATAAATCTATTATCACCAATAAATAATTGTGCGCATGTGCAGTGTACATAAGACAATTAACTAATAACAATAAATTTATCAATTAAAGAGTGCGAAATTTTCACAAGCACAAAATAAAAAATGAAAAGAACAGTTTACTAGAGAATAGAAAACTGCAGCTTCATTGTTTATATAGCTACTAAAATTTGATGATTACACATGACAAAATTTTCACAAGCACAAAATAAAAAATGAAAAGAACAATTTACTAGAGAATAGAAAACTGCAACTTCATTGTTTATATAGCTACTAAAATTTGATGATTACACGTGACAAAAGCACGTGGCTCCACATACTTTTGTCATGTGTAATCATCAAATTTTAGTAGCTATAGTTCAGCCTCCTAATATATATATAGGAGGCTGAACTTGTAGTGCTGAAGAAACAGTAAAACTTTTAGGTTATATGTGGCATCCACTATCATATATAGTTTTGTCTTTCACTCTTTATATTAACTACACTACACTTTGTGTGTGTTTACCGACAGTGATTGATTGATCATTGCTACAGTAGACCTATGCAAATTAATAGAAAAAACCATTAACTTTTGTTTTGTTAAAGCCTGCTCTTGATTTCCATGTGTTTGTACATTCTGATGGCAAGTGCTTTGACAGTATTATTAACTGAAATTCTAGCTGAGCCAACTTCATATAACATCAATAATGGTGGTATGTATCTTCATATAAAAATAAAATAAAATAAAAAATCCTTAATTTGGCAATTTTAAGTATTGTAATTTGTTACCATATATTTATATGTCATTGTATTGTACGTACACACATATTTAATATTTTTATATTTAAATAACGAAACAAAAATTATCAATATAAAGTGAACAACAACTTGACAAGGATTTGTTATTATTTTTTTATTCTCTTAGTATTGCACATTTCTAATATTTTTTATTCCATGTTAAGTATAATTTGTCATCTAAGACAACCGTAATATGTAGTTATTCATAATTCAATAAATGAGAAATCCTTATGAATTTGAGAATTTGTTTAGGGAATCTTCTAGGACATTTAAAGTCGTTTCTCAAAAAGAAATGTTAAAGTAATTCCAATAAAAAGAATTCAAAATTAAAAAGATGTTTGGTAAGAATTTTTATCAAAAATTGGCAATATTTTTTAATTCAGACTAGTATTAATTTTTCAATTGCCGTATTGTCCTGCATTTCTAACCTATCAATCCTTCCTTGAATTAGACCAAACCTAACTTGTTATTTTCATTGACCCAAATCATATTCGCAATGTCGACATTAAAGTCAAAACTCGGGTGATCGAAATCTAATTACTCAAAACTTGTTGCAAGGGTTACAAGCAATCTTATATCCTAAATATTGCCGCGATGTTTCGTTGTATGGCCATGTTGAAACAACCTGATTTAAAAAAAAAAAATTAAAGATTTGGTGCAGTTATCGTAAAAGGTGTTGCCTCTCTTGGTTAGAGATAACAGTCTTAGCAAACTGAAAGACAAAAACAAAAAATAAAAATTACAGATTTATTTTGGATGGGTTTTGATTCATCACAATATTGAAGATGCAAGAAAATCTCTCTCTCAATTTTGACAGAGTTTCGTTACATTTCCTCAATTCTCCCCCTTTTTCTTCATTATCATTCGTCTATTTATAAATGATTACAAGTGCTCTGGGGTGTCCTAACTAACTTTCACTGTTGGGCCCTCCCCTGGGTCCTTTTCATTACTACATTTGATTATTTTCTGTGGGCCTTCAATACCACTCTCTCGATGGGCATGACTTGCGGCGTTATGAAGTGATCCGTGACACAATGCCCGGCCCATTGCTCTTCTTATGGGTCGTACCCGGCCCATGTCGTCTATGGCATCCTCAATTGCCCCCATAATGACTCCCTAATTAATTAGGGAGTGATTATTGATGACTGTCAATCATGACTTGGCGGCTCGATACGATTTTGTGGGGGAGTGACCAGTTGGCTTAGGAATTGAGGGTTTAAATTTGAAAACTCTTTATTCTTCTGACGTCTCAGTTTTCGGGTTCACCTTCTCTTTATGAATTGACAAACCTATACTCATGCTTCCTTTGCTGTCTCTATCATACGTCGCCATCAACTCTCTGTTTGTCTCTTCCAAGCAAATCAAATCTTCGCCGGCGAGATCTTGCATAAGATTTCTTTCTTCTCGCTCATCCCTCAGTGTTTTTGTGATCTTCAACCCTTCCGAGGTTAGTCTTGCTTTCTTTCTTCCTTTTCTTTTGAATCTTTACACACTTCTTTCGGGATCGTACTCACCTTCACCATGCCCATCGATTTGGGTGTTCTTCGCATAAAACTTAATCTCCCCAGTGATATACATATTAGGGAATGCCCTAAGAATGTTAATGTTAGGACAGGCGCTGGTCTCCTTCTTGGTGAGGTCTTATTTTCCTTTCTTCACCTTAACTTCATTAGATTCCCTCTGCACCCTTTTTTTAGTTATGCCTTTAACAAATTGGGGCTTTCCCTGCTTCAGGTAAATCCCAATTTCCTTAGGGTTATATCCATTCTGCTACTTCTGAATCGTGACAGGGGTCTGGATCTTGACCTCATAGATCTTCTCCTCTGTTACAAAGTCAGTAAAATCTGACTTGATGACCTGTATTACCACTTCTATCCAATTGAGAAGAGATCCATATGTACGAACAAACTTAACTCTGAAAAGGGTTGGAAGAGCCATATAGTTGGGGTTAGGGGTGCCTGGTCTGCTCCGGCTGCAAAGGATTACCCTATCCCGAGCGCCTTTGGCAAGCGCTCTATCTCTTCGTACAAAAAATATAAGACCCACAAGAGTGACTGTCCTTGTGAAATTTGCACCCCTCGTTTCTGTACTTTCTTATGCCATTCCCTAGGCCTTCCTAATAAAGAATTCGGTTACGGTATTTATAGGGATAGGATCAATTATTTGCAGGATCACGTTCTGAACGACGTTCCCTCTTGCTCTGATCTTCTTGTGTCTGACAACCTTGCTGACATCTCACGCCTCGGTAGTACCATGAGTCAGCTTCGGATTCCCTCCTTCAGCAGGAAGAAGGATCCTTCTCGGGCCATTGCTGCCCCTGTTGCGGCTTCTTCTCCTGCCTCTGCATTCTCTTCTGCCACTACTTCTAGCACTACTCCGAACGTAGTGAAGTTAGCCCGACCACTAGTGTTCCTCCTACCAACCCGAACGCAATTTCCCAAGTCAACGATCTTCCTGCCTCTACTGTGTCTGCTCGAGACAAAGAGCGAGGCAAGAGGCCTCAACCTGATAGTGAACCCAACCTTGATGGCATCCCTCTGTCAAAGAGGGTTCGGACTTCCGGGCCGATTGTGCCCATGCATCCCCCAACCAGACCTCCTGCCCCCTCTGGGTCAATCACAACCACTATCTCTGCTTTTGTGATGGTACCATGGACTCCTCTGCTCGTCCGAGCGGATGGGTCAACTGTTAAGCCGAGCGAGACCATGTCCAAGGATGGTCCGACCGCCATGGTGTACTACAAAAACATGTGGTCCCCCAAAGACATTGAGGTGGCCAAAGGCCTGTCCCAGAAAGAGGTGTTCAGCCGCTTTCCTCTAGTTGCCATGGAGGTAATTTTCTATCCCTTAGCCATCTAATTTTTAGATAACCTTTATACTTTAACTCTTTTGAATATACGCTTGACTTAATTAGTATTCGTGCATTTCCTTGCAGACTTTGTTTGGAATGATGGCTATGCAGAAGCAGGTAGAGTTGTGCAATGCTAAGGTGTGCAAGTTCTCTAGCGGTCTTGACACAGCCAACAAGGAGAACAAGATCATCAGCACCCAGAATGCTGAACTGATGGTGAAACTGAACACAGTAGAGAATGAAAGAAACGTTCTGAAGAAAGATGCAGACTCCCTCCAGGATGAG